GTGCCGCCGTTACAGTGACACCCAACAAAGCCCGTTTTTTATGTTTCTTTGTTAAAAATGACAAATCCTGGCGGGAGAACTGCCATGGGACCATTCAGTTATGGAGGGCAGGGGTGGGCAGGTCACCAGCAGGAAAGTGTCGCTGGAGGCCATCCTCGTGGGTGGAGCAGGTGGTTCCCAGGAGGACCTGGTTGAAACCACCCCCACCACACACTCACACACATTGACACACACTCACACACACAGGCATGCCCTACAGAAAGAGCCCATGTGTATGTGACTACATGGGTGGCCACGGCTGGGCGTTAATTGTGGATGGGAGACAGAGTGGGCTGGCTCAATACTACAGGTCAGTAACAGCAACTGTGATGTAGTTTATTAAACGTTTCTAGGCACCTGTGGGTAGTGGAAAGAGGAATAGATTTTAAGGCAAAAGATTTGAGGGATGGACCATCCATTAGGTAGAGCCAGGGCCGTGGGCACAGAGAACAAACAGCAGCTCATCTCACAGGGAAGCACCAGCACCAGCACGTTGGGTTAAGACTTTCCCTCGCCTCTCTGCCGGGTCATGCAGAGGATACTCTGGTCCCGCCTTTTCCACTTTGGTGGCATTTGGGCAAGTTCAGCCTCTTTAGAGTTTTCTATTTCCTTATCTGTGGGGTGGGGATGATGGCAGTAATAACAATCCTACTGCTACAATTAACAACCGCAAGACAGCAGCCGACAGTCATGGGGCTCAGCCTGTGCCTAGCACTTTGTGTATGACCTGGTCTCCTCGCAGCCCTTTGACACAACACTGTCCAATGCCTGCGTTTTGCAGGGGAGAAGCCAAGGCTGTAGACATCAGGATGGGCAGTGAAGTGCGGAGCACATTAGCGTGCAGATAGACTGAGAAGATGGGTTCAGGAGCTGGCAACAAGGTGTGAGTTCTGGCTGTGACACTCACCGGTGTGGTGTTCTTGGGCATGCGGCTTAAGCTTCGTTAATTTGCAAAATGGGCATCCTGATAGGGACTGCGTCACGGTGTGGTTGTGAGGAGTAAGTGATTCAATATAGACACGAACAGTGTCTGGGGCATAGTAATGCTTTGCAATCTTTGCTGTTGTTAATAAAGGGTCCAATTGGTGCAGGACAGAGTGGGGATTTGAACCCGGAGCTGACTGACTCTAGAATACGTGCTCTAAGGCAGCTATCTCTGTGGCAGCAGCAGGAGAAGCTTCAGGAGCGGGTGGTGTAAATGGGAGGGGTGGGGAGAGGAGGCAGGCTGTAGAGCTAGGGAGGGGGAGAGAACGAGGCCACTTCAGGCCTCCCGGCGCCTCTCACAGCCTTGTTTCTGCGACCTTGAACTAGGTACCCAGGAAGTCAGCAGCACTGCTGGGTCCCCATAACCGATTGGAACATTCAGCATGTCCCCTTATGCTTCTTGCTGTACAGAGGAGTTAGTGTGGAAAAGAAGGACAGAAAGAGACAGAGAGTGACTAAGACAGAGAGGGGTGGAATCAGAGAGAGAGAGAGGGAGAAGCAGAGAAAAGACATGGAGACACGCAGAAAGAAAGAGAGTGTTAATACTCTGGCAGATGAACAGAAGAGACACACACTTACAGCAGAAAGCAGAGCAAGGCAGGTGCGGGCATGGGCGAGGCTGTCGTGGAGACACAGCCGAGTGGCCGCGACTGCTTAGCTTGTTCTGTGGCTGAGAAGCAAACAAGCCTGTTAAGCGTGTCGGCGCTTTATCTGAGGAAAGCACCTTTGCAGCTACCGGTGCACCGAGAAGTGTTTGACCGCGCAGGGCTGTGACAGGAGAGACTGTCCTTATCTGAATTGGGGACAGGAGCGCTCTTCTGGGTATTTCACACTGGATGCCACAGATTAGGCCGGAGTATTTCACAGTGGGTGATAACGACTTGTTCGGAGCAGCCCTGGGCTGAACAGCGCTCGTACAGCGGGGGCAAGGGGTTGACAAGACTGGAACCTGGAGTCTGGTTTTCCACGAGAGGGTGGTTCTGTGCAACGTCGCACGTGCGCATTAGCACAGGCGTTGGAAACCTTGGGAAGGATCCACATCAGAATGCTGACGGTTGCCAGTCTCCCCAGTTGGATTAATGAGTCTTGCTTTCTACATTACGTACTTCTATTCTGTGTACAATTTTTATAGTAGCAACACAGGGCCTCTATACTCCAAGGAACAAAGGTTTACAGTAGGTTAATGATTTCAAATGAGAGGTCAGAGAAAGCAAGGGCGCCCGGTGTAGCACAGGCTGGCGGTGTCCACCTGACGAGCAGGCAGCGGCCAGGTGGAAAGGCCATTGCATTGGAGAATATTTCCCTTTGATGTTTCCAAGACGCTTTGAAAATCTGATGGCCACAGTCTCTCCTCTGATTCTTGAAATTATTAATATCCCCTCAGCTCAGGCAGATTTCCTTCCTTTGAGGTTCCTCAGGGTTTTAAAAACGACGGAAGGGGGCATATGCTCTGCTGGATAGTGTGTTTCTGTAGAGGATGTGAGACTTTCCCCTTGACAGCATCGTTGTGCAACAGCTGCGAAACTCACTCCTCCTCCCTGAAGTCCCCATCTCCCACTTAAAATTTTCTTCCAAATTTTAAATGAAGGTTGTGGCTGGGCTACACCGTGGCATTGCCCATTGGCTTGAGAAATGACCCAGATGTATCTTCTTTCAGGCTTTACGAGGGCAAAGAACAGATGGAGTTTGAAGAATCCATGAGACGGCTCTTTGAATCCATCAACAACCTGATGAAAAGTCAATATAAAACCACCATCCTTTTGCAGGTTGGTTTATACTACAATAAAATCTGTCTTTTCTTTGGTTTTCCAGTAGATGAGAGCATGCTGAGATAATGTCTATTTTTACTTAAATATGCAGCCTTGTGTTAATTGAAGTCCTGGTCTGGCCATGTGGTTTGATAATCATGACACCAAGGGCTCCTCGTGGCAGGAGAATGTATATTTATTGTTTATTCCCCATGAAGGCAGCAGTGCCTCTTTTAAATAGCTCTGAAGCTTCTGTTACCTGGAAGGAAATAAGTCAAACCTGATCCACTTGTAATGGTGAGAACAGTTGAGGTGGCAGTCTTTTCAACTGAGACTCCAATAGTCCACTCTTAATTTTTGACAACATATACTTGGGTTCCCTTTTGGGATTAAAGAGGTCTCCTCTATAAACAAGAGGTACTTTGGAGAGAATGGGTCCTCTAACGTAGTGGTTCATGATGCTAATGTGCAGTCTGTAAATCTTTGAGAAACCTTGAGGCCCAGCCGTGTGTTTGAGAAAGAGCTTAGCAGCAGAAAGTCTGAATGAAGAAGCTGTTTGGAGGAGACTTTAGAACTTCCGCAGAATTTACTCGCAAGCACCTGGTCGGGGGGTGGTCTGCCTGATGTGTTGTGAATAAAGAAAACCCAAACACATTTATTTAAATCAATGAGTTAATGTAGATTTCTTTTTCTCCTTGCTCTTCTTCCTCCTCCTCTCCTCCTCCTCCTCTTTCTTCTCCACCAGTGTTATTCTTTTAGTTGCTAATTTAAATGTCCATATGCCTGGGATGCCCAGCGTCTGGTTACAGTTGCTGAGGTGCTAGTGTTTACTAGGACAGAGGCAAGGAAGCAGAGGCAGCAGTTTGCCTAGGGTGTGTTTGCTGCTAACACTGTGAGTTCCAAACTTTGCACAGTAGAATACTTGGGGATCTTTCATAAATTCTGATGCCTGATTCCCACCCCCAGACTTTCTAGCTTAATTGGTATGGAGTGTGACCCAGGCAAGGGGATTTTAAAACCTCCCAGGTGATTTTAATGTGAAACAAAGTTTGGGAACCACTTTGATAATGGCTTCCTTTAACTTAACAACTAGTGGAAACCAGGTGTGTGTGTGCACATGTGTGTACGTGTGTGGAAGGGAGTTTATTCACCATTGTACAGTCCAAATACATAGTTTATGCTTAATAAATATCTGTTGAATGAGTGAATGAACAAATGCACAAACCTAGGGATAGGTCTTAAGGTCTGCATTTTATTGATGAAGAAACTGAAGCTCAGACAGTTGATAGAGCTTTCTCCGGGCGCCGCCCTGGGATGTGGGATGGCCGGAATTCAGATCTGTTCCTGCCTGGCTCTAAAGACGATGCCGGCAACCACTGCTCTAGACTGTTCTTTATACTGTTCGTTTAGCACCTGCTGGAGATGGATGTTTTCCATGGGGTTAGTTGGGACTGCAGTCTTAGAGTTTTCACCTTGCCTTACGTCTTGCTGGTTTTTCAAAACATCTTCCCCATATTCCTAAACCCCTCATTATTCTCTAACAACGGGAGGAACAGGAGCAGGGGACAGCATGAAGAAATGCGGCAGGAGTCCCAGCCTGTCACCCTGCCTGTGTCATATTGGAAGCAGCTGAGCTTCGAGGCAGAGGCCACAGTGTCGGGATATCCGCTGAGAGCTGAGGATGGCCAGTGGCAGTGGGAGAGCTACAGGGTTGAGTTGGGTCTGAAATAGGCTCCATGGAAGCTGAAGCGTGAGTGAGCAGACATGAACAAGCAGATGAAGCCAGCTGGTGGGGAGGAGAAAGGAGCAGACGCCTCGCAGAGGCAGAGGTGACACTCGTTCTGACTTCGGCACCTGTTTCCCTGTGATGAGCTACCGTATCTCGTGAGAAGGAACAAGGGGAGAGAGGGAGTAAGGAGTTAGGGAAGGAGAGAGGGAGGGACAAAGAGAAAGGGAAAGAGAGGAAGCACAGATAGCAGGTGAGCACTTACCGGGCCGATGAGAATGTTCTTTATCAGCCACAGGAGCTCACGCTGCTCATTTGACCTCTCAGAGCCTTAGTTTCCTCATCTCTAAAACGCCACTGTATGGGTGAGGATCACATCAACATTGTCTGCAAAAGATCAAATTATAAAACATAATGCAAATGCAGAGAACTAACATGATTATTATGGCCTATTGAGGTTTTGGTGTAAGTCTTTTCACCCAGGTTCTTATTGTCTGGGTAACTGTGTGAGAAATGCCTCTTGTTCCTTGTGATTTGGGCCAGACTGTGCTGGTTTCTTCTCCTCGGCTTCCACATCCAGAGCTGTAGGAAGGGGCTTCATCTCTTTTTAAATTTTTGAATTTGTTCGAAGGGCCAAATTTAGCTTCAGGGATTTACATAAAACCAATAATGCTTTTCACCTATTTACATGGATGTTGAAAAGTTATCAAAGAAAATTTTAAACTCATATTCAAATATGGAGAGCAGTACCATTGGGAGGGAATACAATGCTGTTTTAGGGTGCAAGGAAGGGGCTGATGGGAGTGGGGGGGCCAGGTTCTGTGACATCATCAGGCGCCACACAAGGAATTGTCTGAAAACTTTGACATTTGCAGCAGGAAGAGGAGCTTTGGCTTTTGACCAGAGACCTGGGTGGGAAAGTGGGTGCCCACACTTGGGCACATAACCTCATCATTTCAGCTTTCTGTGCCTCAGTTTATCCTTTTATAAATTAGGAAGCCTAATGTCTAATTTAGAGAATTATTGAGAGTACTAAATAAAGTAATAGACTTAAAGCATGAAGTATAAAGCTTGTTACATAGTTTAGTCGAAATAACTTTTAGTTACTTATACATCTCCCTCCTTTAGCTCATCATAAAACAGAAGCTTTTTGGGTATTTTACTAGAGTGGAATATGGAAGGAGGTATTTGTGTTGCTAACCTTGTTACGTGACACCAAATAGTGTTAGGACATCCAGTTATTCAGTTAGATCAAGATATGCATTTCAAGGAGAATAAACCCACAAGAACTGACTGTGTGGGAAAAGATGGATGGCAACGTTTCACCTAGTGAAACAGTGCAAGGCTGTAGGGACGTGATCAAATAATGTCTGCCGCAGGTGTTGGGTGGGGACATGGAGTGAGTTTGACATTCGTGGTTCAAACTGTACTTCCAGCTGTGTAGCGGCTTATGGTAGAAACCCTTATTCATGCCTGGCTTAATTGTAAGTGGAGCAGCTCTGATTCAGATCTCAGCTTCGTCCGTCGTGAGTTCTGAGACCTAAGCAAGTTATCTCCCATTTCTAGTGCTCATCTGGCTTTTGCCAATTGCTTTCTGTGGTTCTCCTTCTTGTTTTGAGTTGGCATGGCAGCGGCTCACTCAGAACCGTGGAGAATTTAAAGTCAGTAGTTCAAAGGGGGCAGAAAGAGCAGCAGAAATACCTTCCATTGATCAAGTACCTACCGTGTGCCAATCATGGCACTGGGCTCTCCATATACGGTGTTTTCAATCCTGCCAGAGGTCTGCAAGGAACCACTGTCTTCAGTGTCCACGGGAGGCTCTTAAAGTTAAATAGCTCACCCCAAATTACACCTCTTTATAGTAGGGGAGTGGGGATTTGAATCCACCCAGGTCTCCTGACTCCACAGTCACTGTTCTCTATGCCACAGGAAAGGCTTAGGCCAGGGGTTTCCACGTGTTTTCAACAATGGGCCACATGCTCAGAAGTCCCTGTGTGTGCCAGCCTGTGAGTGTTCTTGATAAAACTGACGGTGAGTTGTGAGGGTCAACTCCAGACACCTGTGAATTGGATGTAGTTCAAATGCAGGTAAAGGGCACATGGTGGCATGGTGACGTTACGCAGACCAGTTTGCCCCATTCTCCTTCAGGTCCGTGATACTTCATAATGCCCAGTTTGGTGGTGCAAGTGGTATTAAACGAACAGCGTTGAATGTGTGAATGATGTGTTGAATGATATGCTCTCTTGGCCATTATGATTGTCACTCATGCTACAAAGTGACTACAGTGTCTGGGAGGACAAGGGACTCTGTCTTTTATATCCCCAGTGTCTAGAACAGCAGCTGCGACATGGGAAGTACTTGGATATCTGTTGGCCGAATGAACGAAAGAATGAATACTAGCTTCCACTGCTTTGTTCTGTTTTGTTTTGTGTTTTAGTATTTATTATGTGTCAAGCATTGAGCTAAAAGCTTTACATATATTGTTAGCTCATTTGGTCTTGATAACAACTGCCTTATAAGGCAAATACTCTTTAAAAATTTCAATAGATTTAGGAGATACAAGTGGAGTTTTGTTACATGCATAGATTGTATTGTGGTGAAATTTGGGCTTTTAGTGTACCCAACACCCTAATAGTGTGTACCCTTTACCCAGGAGGTAATTTTTCATATTAAAAAGTAAAAAAAAAAAAACCCAAATATTCTTCTTATTTCTACTTTACAGATGAGGAAAAGGAGGATTAGGGAAGCTGAGTGACTTAACCACAGCTGAAAAGTAGCAGGTCTTGGATTTGAATCTTGGCTGTGCAAGTCCAGAGTTTTAATTCTTAATCACCACCAAAAAGTAGGGTATTTTCATTAAAGACCTAAGTCTTCTGGGAAAATGCGAAGTGGATAAGCACTGCACAACAGTGAATGACAGTAAAGGTGGGCAGATATTTGGTCCGTAGCCATGCAGCAAGCTAATAAAAATGCCTCTTTCTTCCCTCTCGTTTGTTTGTTCATTGATGTAAGATGTTCTGATGTCTGAACTAAGGGAAAAAGTGTCCCATTCTTGAGACTTGGCCCACAGGCTGTACGCTGAACCCACAGAAGTAGGAAAATGAGAATTAATATTTAACAGTAGGAGCTGGAGTTCCAGCCCAAACCTCTAAGTGCTTCTTCAGTCTTTTCCCCTTCTCAACCACATACTCCACACTCCACTTAGGGCTGATATTTGGGAATGGTGGATTCAGTGGCAGGTAGGATGAAATTTTGTCCCAATAAGGAAGTGTAGTCATAGATAGATCACATT